GCATTGTTGTTTGTGTTTTTACTTCATAATTTCGTATTATTATTTCGGTTTACTGCTCTTTACGTCTCCAAAAACTGAATCATTGATGAATAGGTGAATGGAAGCAGGATATGATTAGGTTTCAATAGGCTGTTATTATGTATGTTTGGGCCATAATGCGTAAATAAGACACAAATTTCTTTTTAGTCGTCACCTCCTTTAGTTCAAGGTAATTCGTCTTGAATTTTTTTTTGGATTAGGGTGGAAATGAAAACTTTCAAGGGAAAGGATGAAAAACTTCCGACTCTCAGTGAATACTCGTAATTTGCAAATATTTCGAAACTTTCTTGGGCTTATTTATTAAAAATAATCCTGGTCATTCTGGGGCACAAATCTGCATGGTGAGGTACCCCTTTTACAATGATTCCTGTTCCGTACAAATAGGTATTGACTGATAATAATGAATCCTTCCTATCTCATTCAATTAAAATTTAATCATTTTCTGAATTTCACGTTTTTTTAAATCATATTCGACCATGTGGTACTTTGCTTACATTGGTCATCATTGATCAGATTAAATTCGACCACTTCAAATTTTTAATTTCAAGTTTTCTTTATATTATTCCCATATAATACTTCTTATAGGAAAAGTAATATCGTCTATGTTAGATTATTAGCGCCTCTTGGTACTTTGAGAATTTGAAGAATGGAAATATTTATTTGTTCTAAAAAAATTGCCAAAACAAAGCGACAAATTTTCATCGGTGACAAACAAGATAATTTGGAGGAGGAGGAATGTTATAAAAAAATTGGTGAATTGCGCCGATCATATCTTTCCATCATGACAATCATAAGCGTTAGGATTGATTATGAGGCACGACTTTAAATTGTAAGCTTTTTTTATAGTCCCGTGGGCTTAATATATTCCCCATGCTTCCAATAAACTATATACTTCCACCAGACACAATCGTATGGATCAATGTATCAGTTCCATCTTCATCTTATCCCACCTATATATATATATATATATATATATATATATATATATATATATATATATATATATATATATA